CAATGGCTTGTGTCTTAGAAGAGGGTAGCAGAGACCAACCACACAGTCCTATGTTGTGGGATCTGAATTCATTATAAGCTCTACGACTCCTTTCACACTGTCAGTTTTTCAGGTGTACTCAAATCGAACCATCCAAGACCTCTATGGACCGGCGGGTGTCGGCAAACAAGTGTCCGATGACACCCACCGATATCTGATATGCCAAAAACAGACTGATCGGGATCCATTCCCCATCTGTCTGGTGGATCGGATGGCAATCAGAAACGGACAGGCGGTCTGTTTCCATCTGACCCCCCCCCCACAGAAGACAGCGGGCAGTGTCTGTGTCCACTCTGCAGCAGCGAAGCGGACACAGACCTCTCATCCGCCTGCTCAGCGGGGGATCAGTGGAGATGACCCCCGCTGAGCAGGTGGATCCCTGACGGGTCTCCCCCATCTGAAAGGGGCTTAAGAGAGGAAAAGACAAAGTCAGAGAAAGAAATCCAGAAAGGATTCCAGAAAACACACACACACACACAAGACTACTTTCTACGAGATACAGTTCTGGACCATGACATTCCCGATTTCTATGATGTGATGAATAGGATATTAAGAATATATAAATGCAAAAGCTGAAATGAGTTTATTTTTTCAAAGTATTTCCTTTTAGAATGCATCTGTGCAACAAGAGAGTCAAACTTTGAATCCTGAGACTTTATTTAAAAAATGCCCGGGGCCTGGGAAACCTAGGGACAATTTGATTTTTAAGCCGAAAGAGCAATTTTCAAAGATTTTTGTTTTTTTTTACTAATCATCATGAAATCATTAATAATATGAAAAAGAAAAAAGTATTTGATGGCAAGTCACTTGGCTTCGATCTTCCAAGACTGAAAAAGAAGGAATTCTGTGCAGAATCCAAGAATCTGCTTGGACACTTAGGCCTAGATTAGCAGACGAGACTTGGCATGCATGCAGCTATTCTTCAGAGGTAATATGGGAATTACAGCTTCAGCTTCTGCATCCAGTCTGCACTGACTCAACTCCTGCAAGTCACATTAAACATACCACAGACTTTATCTGGCGTTAAATAAATACAAAACCTAGAAAAGATGCTACCAGTACCCAACAATGCAACATTTTGATAAAGATGGCATCCACTTTTCATTTAATTATGACATTTGGAGGAACTTGAAATTTTTTTCCTTATTTTTATACAAAACCAGTCATAAATTAATTCAACAACAATGAAAAGGTTTGCAAACAATTAAAAGGCTCAAACTATCAGTTGTGAAAAGTTCTTACAGTAAGCGGACCTTCATTTTGGTATAAGGTCTACTTTATCAGGCCTCCCACCCACACAACTCAATTCAAAGTACTGCAGTTGGGAAAAACCACCTGTGGTAGAAGAGTTAGGCTGGCCATACACTATACAATTTTCTGTTCAATTTCTGCCCAATTTCCTTTGGATTTACCTTCAACTATGTAGTGAAAGGGCCTGCTTAATTGGATACAACTGAAAGTGTTGTTAGGTTTGACCTCGTATTATATGGTTTTTGGTAAATCTAAAGCAATTTTCCAAAGAAAATTGTATAATGTATGGCCAGCCATAACCACTTGCCGACCGGCCGTTATATATAAACGGCCAGACGGTGGCAGTGCAGGGTCGGGTGGCCGTTTATAAACGGCCTCCCCGCACCCTGCTTGTGCGCGCTCCCTGGGAGCGCGCAGCACCGCGATCCGGTGCCCGCTGTGTCCTCCGGACACAGTGAAACACCGATCGTCGGACGGGACCTCTGTACGAGGTCCCGATCATGTGATCACTGATTGGCCAATCAGTGATCACATGCAAAGTAGCAAGCAAGAGGTCACTTGTGACATCATTGCTTACTACGTGTGAATTCTGTGAATGATCACAGAGGTCACATGGTACAAGGCTATTCACAACAGCCTTGTACCATGTGACAAGCTGTGACCAATCACAGCTCACTCTGTATTTCTCAATGACTGCAAGAATGCAGACAGAGAGAAAGAGAAATGATGGCTTTTACATCCTATATGGGTGTAAAAGCAATCAGTGTAAAAAAAAAAAAAAAAAAAAAAAAAAAATCTTCATCACCCCCCACAAGTAGTACAGTGTCACCATGGTGACACTGTACTGCTAGGGTGACAGAACGTGTAGAAAAAAAAAAATATATAAAAAAATAAAATAAAAATGTAAAAAAAAATATTTAAAAATTATAATTTTTGGTTATAAACTAATTTGGATTTTTTTTTTTTACTAAAAAGATAACGGAATAAATTTTGGCCAAGATTTATGATGAAATATTATTTATTTGCAAAATTAAAAAAAAAAAACAAAAACACTTTTTCAAAATGTTTGGACTTTATCATTTACATAGCAAAAAAAAATAAAAATCCCAGCAGTGAATAAATACCACCAAAATAAAGCTTTATCTGTCTCAAAAAAATGGTAAAAAATTCAATTGGGTACAGTGTGGCATGACCGCGCAATTGTCATTCAAAGTGTGTAGCGCTGAAAGCTGAAAATTGCCCTGGTCAGGAAGGGGGTAAAAGTGTCCGGTCTGGAAGTGGTTAATATACTTCCCTTATTATGAATGGCTTTCCCGGTGCCTATGTAAGGACTTGTTTCCCACACCACATTTAAATCGCACAGCTCCTGTAATCTGCAGCGGGTGTCAGTGCAAAGTTAACAATTCTCCAAATGCAGGTTACAAACGCCCCATGCATAGCATGTGATCTGGTTTCCAAAAGTAGTGTATGCATTTCTTTTGGCACGGTTTGGTGCAATTTCAGTCCATTTACAATAAATAGGCTGAAATCTCACTGCACAGAATTGCACAGGAATGACCCAGCATTCACATGCAGCTCCTAGTGTGAATGGGCCCCCAGGGGGATGTCATGAACCTGGGAACACAGAGTATCCTAAATCTAGAGAGAAGATTCTCCAGCACAGGGCAGAGGGTCTTCTCATCAGATTAGGGATTCAGGGAGTGATATCATGAAGAGCTGCGCCATCAACAGGTTCACGACAGAAATGCATAAATCCACAGATGGCTAGAAGGAATCCCACATCATCAGGATAGCTATTACTACTAAATGGGAAGGATTAAATCTCCACTCCAGGGAAAGGAAAATGCCCTCTTGCAGAGGGGGGCTGCCCCACAGCAAGGGTTAAATGCCATTTAGTTCTAAGGGGTGGCAAAAAGCACTTTTATTTAAAGCAGCCATTCTCAACCAGAGTTCTGTGAAACCCTATGGTTCCTCCAGAGGTTGCTTGGGGGTTCCTTGAGCTGTGGCTTACTGACTTCCCATTTGATGGTGCCTGCATAGTCCCCGGGTCAACACCACTTGGTAGACCCCGGCTGCATGAAGCCAAGGACCTTTTAGCTGTCCATAGGGGTCACATTCTGACCACTACTTTAAGGTTTGCATGCTTTCTACGGACAATCAATGTAAGGAGAATTTTTTTTCACTGACCACCAATTAATTGATTTTAACAGGGGTTCTCCTGAGATCTGAGGATTATTTCAAGGGTTCCTCTAGAGCAGGGGTGGGCAACTGTGGCCCTCCAGCTGTTGGTGAGCTACAAGTCCCATCATGCCTCTGCCTTTGGGAGTCATGCTTGTAAATGGCAGTTTTGCAATGCCTCATGGGACTTGTAGTTCTACATCAGCTGGAGGGCCACAGTTGCCCACCCCTGCTCTAGAGCAAAAAGGTTGAGAAAAGCGGACTTAAAAAGTATAACTAAAGACTTTGTTTTTTTGTTTTTTTTTTTAATATTGGATAGAGTGCAGAGAGATTAGAAACCCTGTCAGGTTTTTATTGCTGTCTGTGCCACCATTAAGCAGATTTTCTCTCTCCATTTGTCCTGTTTACCATTATCATTGAAAGTAAGAGAAAATCTCAAAATTTTGGGTTTTCCCCAGAAAAGTCATTAAGGGAAAATCTTCCAATGGTGACACTAGCTCTGGGAGGGGGTCCCAAAGAATTTCCCCTAATTTTTACAGTGTTCTTCTCAGTCCCTGTTTGGCTATGGGACAGGAGGTGGAGGGAAATCTCCACAATGGGGGAAAGAAAAATCTGACAGGGGTTATAACCCTCCTTTACTGTACCCAAAATGAAAAAAAAAAAAAAAGGTTTGCCTACAGTTCTACTTTAACGGATCTTTACCTCCTGCAGACTCTACCTCAAGGATGTAAGACCAGTCCCTAGCGGCCTCTTTTCCTCTATGTTCTGGCAGTTGGAGGTCCTCTGACATTGTCAAGTCCAAAGCAGAGCCCATAGCCCAGTACTGGGCATGAGGGACAGTCCACTGCCAGAGTGTAGGAGACAAGAGGAGTAGCTGCTAAGGAGGGAAGAATCAGGTAAATCTGCTCTCTAGATCCAATTGAACATTTAACCCTTGCAGTGCATAGGCAGGCCCAGTGCAAGGGAGCATTTTCCTTTCCCTGGAGATGGGCTTTAACCACTTGCCTACCGGGCACTTATACCCCCTTCTTTACCAGGCCAATTTTCAGCTTTCAGCGCTGTCGCGCTTTGATTGACAATTGCGCAGTCATGCAAGATTGTACCCATATGAAATTATTTTTTTTCTCACAAATAGAGATTTCTTTTGGTGGTATTTAATCGCTGCTGGGCACTTTACTTTTTGCGCTATAAACAAAAAAAGTGCAAAAAAGTTAAAAAAAAAAATAAGTTTCTTTGTTTCTATTATAAAATTTTTCAAACAGGTAATTTTTTTCCTTCACTGATGTGCGTTGATGAGGCAGCACTGATGGGCGGCACTGATAGGCAGCACTAATGAGGTGGCACTAATGAGGTATCACGGATAGGCGGCACTGATAGGTGGCACTGACTGGCATCACTCCTGGGTACTGACTGGCGACACTGCAAGGCACTGACTGGCGCAACGGCTGGGCACTGACTGGCGGCACTGACTGGCAGCACTGCTGGGCTCTACTGAAGGGCACTGGAGGGTGGCACTGGTGGACACAGGTAGGTGGCACTGCTGGGCACAGGTAGGTGGCACTGCTGGACGGCACAGGTGGGTGCACTGCTGGACACAGGAGGGTGCACTGCTGGGCACAGGAGGGTGCACCGCTGGCACAGGTGGGCGGAACTGGTGGGTGGCACTGCTGGGCACCGATCATCAGTGCCCTGATGCTCGGTGCCGATCCCTGCTCTGACAACTGCCGGTTCTCGGCAGTACTTTCCCCATGCTCTGACAGCGTGAGGAAAGTGCAGCCGAGAACCGGCAATTGCATTTCCCGGCGATCAGCGTGTCATTGGACACGGCTGATCACGTGGTAAAAGGCCGCTGTGATTGGCCTTTTACCACATCACGTGATCAGCTGTGTCCATAGGAAACAGCGATCATGGAGATCGCTGGGTGCGTACCAGCGGGGGGGCGCGCAGGAGAGCGTGTTCTGGGAGGACGTCATATGACGCCCTCACAGAACTGGCCGGCCGCAGTGTAGCCGTCATTCGGTTATCTGCGGTTGGCAAGTAGTTAAAAGGAAAATCCTTTTTGTTGTACCTTTGCCATTATTTGCACCTGGACACCTTACAGGGTTTAATGAATAAGGTATTTTTGCAAAGTACAACGAGCACTAAAAACAAGTTTAGTAATTATCTGGCTTTCCTTGGGAACTCACAATCATGGACATTGAGAAGCAAAGAGTGTAATAATTGAACTGTAGAACGTCAGTCAGGCACGGCTCATACAGCGAGGCTCTGTTCACAGTTCACCAGATTCTTGGCTGCAATTTAAAGTCGATTTCCCCCAGAGGACCGTGCCTGGGTCACTGGTGCTGGCAAAGACTCAGCCGAGATATCAGAGTTCACTAATTGGTGGAAAATCCTAAAACCCACCCATTCATACACCAGGCCATGCAGCTGCACTGCTGCAATCTGTGTGTTTCCTGGTGACTGATGTCTTCCACGTTGGAGGATTCAAATTGGGACGGGGAGGGGGGCAGTTGCCAAAGTAAAGGGAACCTTTACGGGTGAAGATAAAGTATATAGGGTAATTATCTACCAGTCATCCCAATTACAGGAGCGCAGCTGTGGACTTTTAGTCTAGGTATGGTAATAACATAACGTATGTGTGTTTAAAACACTATTAAAAAATACAGAGCTTCGGCACTGCGTGAAATGAACAGAAAATCCGTCTGGGCTGCCGCAGCGTGTGACCATGTGTGTCAGGAAAATACAGCACAGTGTGTACACACAGAAATATGTGCAGCAGATGAAACCCAGAACTGGGCAAGGGAAAGGGAGGAAATCCTGGCTCATCATGGTATTCGCTGAAAGCCCAGGTCACTTTCAGTTTAAAGCAGAACTTCACTCAAAAGGAGAAGTTTTGCTTGTTTGCATCCCCCCCCCCTCTAACAATTGGCACCTATTTAGAGAGAGGGGGGGTTGGTACCTTCCCCGCAGCCTTCTTGTAGACATAACAGGTCCCAGAAGGCTGTGGGACCATCCACAAAGGGCAGATTGACTCGCACATGTGCAGTAGGAAGCCGGCTGCAAAGCTTCACTGTTGGTTTCCCTTAGTTAAAAAGCCAGCACCTGCACCCAAAGCGGATTGAAGAAACAGCTCTCGGCTGAGGACAGGACTGGATCCCTGGACAGATAAGGGACTTTATATTTAAAGTCAGCCGCTACAGTATTTGTAGCTACTGACCTAATTGTTGTGGGAGAGTAAATCAGCTAAATACATTTGAGGTGTGTATATCCGACAGTGTGAATTCTTCAGAAAGCAGTTGTAGCCTAAGGGCTCATGTACACGGGACGTTTAGAAAACTCTTTTGAAGGCTGGAAACTGACAGCTGGAAAACATAGGTTAAAAAAAAAACGGCAGTTTAGCCTCGTTTGCATACCGCGCTTATGCACGTTTGCGTTCAGAAGCATTTTAAAAGATAACCTCTGGAGACCTTCCCAAATGCCCAGAATGCACTGAAAAATAATACATAATTTACTGTTTCAGACATTTTGAGAGAAATAGAGAGAGCAGAAGCAGAGAGAGCAGTATGTGTTGAGATGACCTGTCTTTTCTGGTTGTATTCACTATGGATCCCATCATGAGCATAATGCGGCACATTCTACCATTTTTCCTTCACGCAAAACCTGGAACTGACTGCACTGGTGTGCTAGGTCCATTTGAATACATGGAAAATGCTCTGCATGCAGTTCTAATGATGAAAAAAGGCTCTGGACAGCATCTGGACATGGAACACTTAAACGATTCTAAACGCAAACACTTATAAATGCAGTTAACCGCTTTTACAAGCGTTTGAAACGCTGGTAAAATCTACTCCTGAACGCAAGTTTGGTGCGTTCAAAAAAAAACGACTGTAAACTCAACTGCCTGTAAAAGACAGTGTACATGGACACATAGGAAAACATAAAGGAGAGCTCAGGGGCTGCTGGAAAAAACCGCTGAACAGCTCCTGAACGTCAGTTTAGCAGCTGCAGTGTACATGAGCCTTAAGCAGTAAAGCCTGTCCTCTGTCATCATTCTGCAGTGAAGGACCCCTTACTCTCTGTGTGGAAGCAGTGGTCACTCTGCTGAGGTCTCATGTCCTTTGCCGATTGCAGAGTGGTTAGTCTGACTTGGCAAAGCTCATGATCCCTGCGAAATGAAGAACTCTAGCAGGGAGTGAGTCTGGTTTACACAAAGGAACCACTGCTTCCACACAAAGAACAAGGGCCCTTCTTACAAGAATGCTGGCAGGCTGAGGATTCTTTCTAAAGAAAACAAACTGTAAGACCTTAAAAGTGGAGTTACAGCTGAAAAAAATAAATAAAAAAAAAAGTCAGCAGCTACAAAAACTGTAGCTGTTGACTTCTAAAATACAGCCATTTACCTGTCCTTTGGTTTGGTCCAGTGCTGTCTTCTCTCCCCGCTGGCAGCATCTTCAGTGTAGGCACCCGGCTGTGACAGCTTACGGCTTCACAGACGGATGCCCACTGCGCATGCGCAAGAAGCGCTGCACTTTGTGAATGGCCCTGTAGTCTTCCGGGACCTGTCACTTGCCCCGTAGTCTTCTGAGACCTGTCAAGTGTCCCAGAAGACTACGGGGAGAGAGGGGGAGGACAATTTCCGCTTCCGATCGCCTAGGCGATAGCAGTGGAAGTGGGAGCGGGTACCTGTTAAATTCAGGTACCCGCTCCCCAAAGGTGCCAATCCTTAATGGGGGAGAGGAAAACAAAGGCTTAAAACGGAACTTCCCCTTTTGGGTGGAGCTCTGCTTTAAACACCTTTTTTTAATGCACCCAAAATGTATTTAGTCGATTTAAAGTGGAAGGTGAACTTTTCAGAAAACGTGAAAAGGTGAGCTATCACCTTACATTCACCCCCCCCCCAAATCCCTGCTGCACTTACCTTCATTGGTGATTAGATGTCACTGCCCACACAGCAGTCCTGGGATTTGAAAGCCGCACTCTTACCTCCCCAATCTCTCCTTAGGGTTTCAGGAATGGATCAGAGCGATTCTGACTTGTCACCTACTGGTACATAACCACTCTGACCAATCTGAATTGCTCTGCTCTGACCCAGAAGCCCTATGAGAGTCGAGTTGGGCTTTCAAATCCAAATGATTGAATTACACATGTAAGGTATCGCTACAAAAGGTGAATTAAGAATACTATTTCTGGGCCATCATTTACGATTAACTCCAAACTGATAATCTGTAAAGTCTTATAAAGCATCACCTATGAACAATTTTATGTAACAATTTGTAGCCATTTTATGGGCTTGCACAATTTATATATCTTGACATGTTGAGTATCTATTTACTCAATGCAATATCATGTTTTATATTTTACCAAAAAAAATTGGGTATTTTATGATTGTGTTTGTGTGCACTAAAACGCGCTTAGTGTATTTTTTTTCCTGAAAATTTGCATTTGATAAACAGATACACAAATAGTGTGATATGCCAGATTGCAACTAGCACCATTTTATTCTCCACAGCCCCCATACTTGGGAAGGGCTTACAGTAATTGCTAGCAAAAATTGAAAATTTTAGTATGTGTGCAAAAAACAAAAAACAAATTCAAATTGCTCTTGTAGGCAAGCGGTTAACGAAAGCAAAGTCATTTATTAACAAAATAAGACCACCATACTTTCTCCCAACTAAAGTCACTGCAGCAGTCACTAACCACAAAATAGATAAATATAGTGCAGCACTAAAAACAACAAGCAGAAAGTTCGATCTAAAAAGTTTGATCTGAAATTTGTTATCAAATGTTCGTTAAATCATCAATATAATAAAGTGGACACAGCTATGAGGAATCCGAAAGAAATGGCAGAAGTGCGCACTCACCGACCGCACATAGGAAATGCGCATGTGTGTATTAAATTCCACAGATATCGATCTGGCGGCTACTTCATTCAGGGTCAGTAATTTTGTTTTTCTGCACTCTATATATATCTATTTTTGGGCATTTGCCAGCACTATTACTGATTTACCCTGCACTAAGTCTGTTACCAATAAAGTTCTTCTGACATACTACACTATGGGTACTCTTCCACTTTTTGCCCCTTACTGAGAGGTCAGCAGACACAGCTTCTAACTATATCCAGAGGAGGGAAGCCTTCACCTGGAGGGATTCTTTATCCGGTCGATCCATCCTGATCCTAAGGAGGTCCTGTGAGCCCAGCTGACTATCGTTTGATAATACTCCTTCCTGAGGGAGATCGATATCTGTGGAATTTAATACACACATGCGCATTTCCTATGCGCGGTAGGTGAGTGCGCACTTCTGCCATTTCTTCCGGATTCCTCATAGCTATGTCCACTTTATTATATTGATGATTTAACGAACATTTGATAACAAATTTCAGATCGAACTTTTTAGATCAAACTTTCTGCTTGTTATTTTTAGCGCTGCACTATATTCATCTATTTTTACTTGAGGCGGTTGTGATCTCCTTTTAGTGCTATTAGCTGCTTTATTTTACGGTTATACAGGAGCGCTCACTATACCTTTTATATCTTAAGTCACTAACCACAAAGCTTGTGTTGTTTCAGAAAACCCCTTTTTCTCTTCTGATCCACACACAAAATTATTTGACATTTCCAGCAGAAAAAATAACAAAAGGAAAGAAGGTGCCTGAGCAGACGTGCCTCAACACTTACAGGCTGGAAACAATCTACTTACATTGACGGCTTTGTATATCAGCCTAGATGAGCAATAAATCAATTTTTGTTTTTATTTTGCTGGGTTTTAAGCCAAATTAATTCACAGGGACGCCTTCAAAACACTAGAAATATGGACAGTTCCTGCCTTAAAGGAAAACTGCTCCGAGAATGAGCCGCTAACATGTCTAAACAGTAGGCACTTCTAAACGTCTGAATATGCCTT